TTTTTTTGTTTGTTTGTTTTCCGATGGGAATCCTTTCCTTGCTCCAGCGAGGACAGAGTGTCAACTTGTCACTCCCCTGTGATGCTCTCTAGTGCCCCTGGCTTCTAGGGCGTGGAGGTGAGATGACAGACACAGGGTGTTAAAGGGAAGGGGACCATCCTCTGGTCCAGTGAAGCTTTAGGCTGAGGTCTTAACTATATAACTCCAACTCCAGCCAACAGAGCATCCACATGCCCTGCTTCTCTCTGAACTCTCTTTATGCTTTTAGGATCCAGGAGTCTAAATGAGACGGAGTTGCTTCAGGAGGTAGGATGGAGGTACCTGCCGCACGAGGAGCTTTTCTGCTCAGGAATCTGGCACCAAGTTACAAGAGAGTTAACCCAGGGTCGAGACTGCATGCGGAACGCTGGAGAAAGTGGCTCTCCGTTGGGGAAACAGGATGGTGTCCAGTGTGAAGACGCCGGCTTCAGTAAACATTCCGGTCGGAATTCGCGGCTTCAGCTCCACTGCGGAATGAGTGGTGGTGAAGATCCTTCTAAAAAGGGGGTGAATGGGGAAGACGCTAGCTGGGACTGTCATCTCGGGGTGAATGGGCAAACCCACGTGGGAGAGAGGCGGTACAAATGTGAGGAGTGTGGCTACTCCTTCTGCCGCCTGTCGGGTCTTCAAGCTCACCAAGTAAGGCACACGGGAGAGAAGCCGTACAAATGTGAGGAGTGTGGGAAGGGCTTCACTCGGGCCTCTACGCTTCTGGACCATCAGCGAGGCCACACTGGAAACAAGCCCTATCAGTGCGATGCTTGTTGGAAGAGCTTCTGTCACAGCTCAGAATTTAACAATCACGTGAGAGTCCACACGGGCGAAAAGCCCTACGTATGTGAGGAGTGTGGGAAAGGCTTCAGCCAGGCCTCGCACCTTCTGGCTCACCAGAGAGGCCACACTGGCGAGAAACCCTACAAATGTAGCACGTGTGGGAAGGGCTTCAGTCGGAGTTCAGATCTGAACGTTCACTGTAGAATCCATACCGGAGAGAAACCCTACAAATGCGAGAAGTGTGGGAAAGCCTTCAGTCGCGTTTCAATTCTCCAAGTCCACCAGAGAGTTCACAGCGAAGAGAAACCGTACCAGTGTGCAGAGTGTGGGAAGGGCTTCACGGTAGAGTCACACCTCCAAGCCCACCAGAGGTCCCACACCGGAGAAAGACCCTATCAGTGCGAGGAGTGCGGGAAAGGCTTCTGTCGGGCCTCCAACTTTCTAGCTCATCGCGGAGTCCACACAGGAGAAAAACCGTACCGATGAGACGTGTGTGGCAAACGCTTCCGGCAGAGGTCCTACCTCCACGACCACCAGAGGATCCAAACTGGCGAGAAACCGTACAAGTGCGAGGCGTGTGGGAAAGGCTTCAGCTGGAGCTCCTACCTCAAAGCCCATCAGAGGGTTCACACGGGAGAGAAACCGTACAAGTGTGAGGCCTGCGGGAAAGGCTTCAGCTGGAGCTCGAGCCTCGTGATTCACCAGCGAGTCCATGTTGACGATGAGGGTCACAGGGATTTCCCTGCACCAGAGGACACCCCCAGGAAACACACTCTATAAGATTTTATGATCTGCGACAGTAACCGCAGAAAGCTTGAGCGTCATCCGGAGGTTTCTAAATATCCTAGGACAGAAGGGACCAGGTCTGTTTGACAGAAGCAACATTTAAGCTGCTGGCTGCCACCCCACGTGGCGCTGCAGAACCGAATGTGGTGGCCTCAAGGTATTTATAAACACTACAAGCTTTCTACATACCCAGTGGCCAAAACCTCAGAATTCAACAGCTAATAAGTCTGAGGGGCTTCTGGCAGCTCTTACCCAAGCCGCGACTCACAGCGCGAGCCCTGGCACCTCACTGTCACCACACACCGTGCCCGCGGGCTGCTTGAAGTCCCTCTGCTCAGGGCCGGCATTGCTGTGAATCACAGTGCTCTCTCCTCTGCGCACAATTTCTGCTCGCACAGAAGCACAATCGTTTACTTACACGGTTTTCCTCTTCTCACCCCTGCCCTTCAGTGTCTGACGAGTTCAGCTGCAGATTGTGCTGGGTCCCAGCCAGCGTGGTTTGAAACAGTGCTTTCACCATTAATAAAGTATCACTTCTTGAAACTGTTCTGAAATACATTTCTTCCCGATTAACAGTAAACATTTGAGATGTCCACCTACCTACATTGTGTGCCTCTGTAAGCAAGCAATGCCCGAGACACCTCCTGCCTTCAGTAACTCTTAAGTCAGCTTTGAGAAGAGCCGTCATTTGAAATTTTTTTATTAAGTCTATCTCTGAATAAAGTTTCTGTAAAATTGTTCCTAGGAGGCTTGAAGGACATTTTAGTTATACACACAGGCCAGTTTCCCAACCCCGTGGAACCTGTGTACCAATGTCTATCAAACTGAAGGGCTTTGTACATTGGTGGCTTCAGCAATAGGGGGATTGTGGCCAGCGTTTAGGCATGCTTGTCCTTCACTGAAATATCTTTGTAGGTCGTCACACATGCACAGACCTCAATTTCATTGCTTCCTGAATTTTGACAAGTGTCTACACTTCTGTGGCCATCATCATCAGCTGTGTGTTTCTAGTCAACAGAAATGTGCCAGTGGCATTCCCAGTCAGCCCCACCTTCAGTCCAACAAGCTTTCCGGCTTCTGAGCTGCGGATGTAAATCACAGCCGTTCTCAGAGTTCATAAAGGTGCAGGGTATTGGTGTAGAGTCTGACCTCTCGATTTATTCAGAAAATATTTGACAAAACTCAGTATTCATTCAAGATTAAAAAAATACACAGTGAGGTAAGAGGTAAATATGGAGTTCCAATAAAATGATTTTAGTGGAAATGTAGACAGTAAGGCTGACTTTGTTATGTCATGGTAGACTTGGCAGATGTTTGCTATGGGGTGGCTCCCACCTGGACATCTAAGTTTAGCATCCTCGCTGAATTCTTCTCCCTCTTTTGCCCTTGATGATTTCTGTATTGTTTATTTTTCCACAAAAATGTCGTAAACGGAACCCTATCCTGTGTGGCTTGTTGATCTAGAACCCTACCCTGTGTGGCCTGTCTATCTAGAACCCTATCCTGTTTGGCCCGTCAATCTAGAACCCTATCCTGTGTGGCTTGTTGCATCTAGCTTCTTTCACTTGTATAATTCTTTTTTTTTTTTTTCGAGACAGGGTTCTTTGTGTAACAGTCCTAGCTGTGATGGCGGAAGATACAAAATAATCCCACAATAGTTCAGACTTACATATAATAAGGGGTTATTTATTTAGGGGAGACTCACAGATTACTATCCTAGATCACAGTCCTCTGCACGAACGGGGAACAGGAACAAAGCCTAGCAGCCAGAAGTGAGAGCTGGAAGCAAGAGAGCCAGAGCAGGCTTTACAGCTGCATTTATAGTCTAAGGGACCATGCCAAAGTGGGCTGATATCTTAAAGGTTATTGGTGAAGGAGCCGAAGGAACTTTCACAGCACTAGCTGTCCTGGAACTCACTCTCTAGACCAGGCTGGGCTTGAACTCACAGAGATCCGTTTGCCTCTGCCTCCTGGGTGCTGGGATTAAAGGCGTGTGCCACCACTGCCCAGCTACTGTATAATTCTTTAATTCATCCATTTTGATGTGTGGATCCCAGAGGAGGGGTGCTTACTAGGGATTGAACCCATGGCTCCATACATAAGCAAGTGTTTTACCACAGCCTTCAGTCTCTAGGCCTTGGACATTCCTTTTCATTGTTGAATAGTATTCTCTTGTATGGCTAGACCACATTTGGGTTTGGTAATGGGGGCAGGCAGCTATAAACAATTGAAAACCATTTCCTTATCAACTTTGCCTTCATTCAGACCTAGGATTATTCTATGTTGATGAATGGTGAGAAACATATTGAACACGACTAAAACCAGAGCTTTTGAGCACAGCTGTCCATTCTGCATCCTCACCACCAGTGTGGGACAGTTAGGTTCTGCTCACCAACACTTGGGATGCTAACATTTTCTTTTGCTTTTGTTCCTTTTTTTTTTTTTTTGCGTCTAACAAGCTTGTGGTGCTAGCTCATTTTGATTATATCCATTTCTTTTCTTTTACAAAAGATTTATCTTTACATGTCCTTGTCTGCTATAGTCACATTCCTATTTGAATCGCTGAACCCATGTTTGAATCTTTGCCCATTTTTGAAGGTTGGTTATTTCCAAAGGCTGGCAAGATGACTCAGCAGGTAAAGGCCCCTACTGCCCAGCCTGACAAGGGAGTTGGATCCCAGCACTCTCATGGTGCAAGGAGAGAATTTTCTCCTGGAAGTTGCCCTATGACTTCCTCGCTTGTGTGGTGGCACGCACATGTCCAACACAAGCATGAACACACCGGTAAATAAATAGGATTCATTTTGTATATTTTTAGTTTTTAAAAAGATTTTATTTGTATCGATGTTTTGCCTGCATTATGTCTGTGCATCACGTACACTCATGCAGTGCTCGAGGAGGCCAGAAAGCAGCGGCGTCCTCTGGAACCGGAACTGGAGTTCTATACTTTCAAGGTACACATATTACTATGTAAAGATATTTTACTCAGGACTTTCTTAGGAGTATAAGGAATGAAAATCAAGAGGGAAATTCGATGCGGGAGGGCGGTCCTCCGCTAGCCTCCTGGGACTGCGTCTGTGCCTCTGCATCCTCACTTCCGTTACCACCGAGCCGGCGCCACAGTTTCTCCACGCGGAATTATGGGAACTCGTCAGCTTCAGATTGACTTGTTAGCCATCTGTTCCCCTGGGTTTGAGTTATTTTAGCCAGGGACCTCTAGAATGTCCCCTAGATGCTTTTGAGATCGACAGTTCTCAAAAGCATTTGGGGAGATTAAGGAAGAAGTGAAGTTTGAAAGGTAAGGAGCCGCGGCATTCCGTGGGACGGGGCGTACCAGGGTCTGCGGGCCCTCGGTGCCAGCCGCTTCAGTGGCCCCTCTCCCCATCTGCAGCCCCCTTCCCTGCCCGCAGCCCCCGTCTCCCAGCTCGCCGCCCCCCTCTCTGCCTGCATCTCCCTTCTCCCCGCCCGCAGCCCCTTCTCCCGGCCTGCAGCCTTCCTCTCCCCGCCCACAGCGCCACTCTCCCTGCCTGCAGCCCCCTCTCCCCGCCCGCAGGCCCTTTTTCCCTGCCCGCAGCCCCCTTTTTCCTCCTGCAGGCCCCTTTCCCCACCCGCAGCTCCCCTCCCTCCCTACAGCCTCCTCCCCACCCGCAGCCACCCCCTACTCGCCTGCAGCCCCCTCTTCCCACCCGCAATCCCCCTCCCCACCCTCAACCCCCCCCTCCCCTCCCCGACCGGAACACCCCCGTGTCGGGAAAGCCGCCCGACCCCGGCGCCCCCCGCCCCCCTCACCCCCCCCCCCCCCCCCCCCCCCCCCCCCCCCCCCCCCCCCCCCCCCCCCCCCCCCCCCCCCCCCCCCCCCCCCCCCCCCCCCCCCCGCCCCTCCCCCCCGCCTGCCGCCCCTTCCCCGCCCTCAGCCTCCTCTCCCCGCCTATAGCCCCCCTCCCTACCTGCACCCCCCTCTCTCCTGCCCGGCAGCTGGCTCTGCTTCTTCCGCTCTAGCTGACCCCTCTGCATTTTCTGGCTGTTCTGCAAAAGAGAAGTTAGACCTTCCTAGTAGACTATGTAAAGGAAAAAAAATAGATCGTAAAATGCTTAAAAACTGTCTGGCATGTGGGTGTCATGGAGACCATTGTAATATTCCACATCGCGGCTTCTGTGAGCCAGCAAGTGCTGGGCTGTCCCCACCTATGAACCTTATAGATAGCTGGCTGCTTCCCGCAGGTACTGGGGCACGAACCATGAGATGGGATTTTGTAATTTCACTATTTTCGGTTTGCCCGTAGTCCTGACTTTCCAAAAAGCACCGTGCGGAGCCCCGGGTGAGTAAGACTGACTCTAGAGGGTGTGTGGGTCTTACACTTGTACGTGACTGTGATTAGACATTAGGAGACTGGCCTCAGGACCTAGGATGTGTGAAGCCACACTGACTTGGTCCACGCTCCCGGAGGAAGCTGGCCAGTGTCATGTGAAAATGGATTAGAACTGTCTTGCAGGGTTCTTGAGAGAGGGGTTTGTATATTTGTGTGTGTGGACACTGCAGATCAACTCGGCTTCCCCAGGAGCCTCCTCCTCCCCCCGGCCCCCTTTTTTCCCATTTAACATTTATTTTGTGGGGGGGGGGGCACGCGAGTTGTGGTGTGGAGATTAGAGGACCAGTTTGGGGAGATGCTGCTCACCTCCCACCGTGTGGGTTCTGGGGCTCAAACTCAGTCTGGTTTGGTGGCAAAGCGTCTTACCCACCGAGTCACCTTGTGGGTGTCTTGCTCACCTTGCCCAGTTAGGTGAGGCTGACTGGCTGGCCACAGGCAGGGAAGATAATGCCATTAGCTGCTCTTCTCAGCACTGGCTTTACCAACCTGTGCCACCAGCGCAGAACTTGGGTCCCCTTGCTTGCCCAGCAAGCTCTACCAATGAAGCCATCTCCCCAGTTCCTCATGGTAGGGTCTTCAAAAAGCGTGTTTCATCTAATCCACTCTTCCCAAATAATGTTTACCGTGCAGACACGGAAATGTTGGAAAATACAGACTTATGTAAAGAAAGAACTTGTTTCTACTCTAGCCTGTGAATGGAACGGTGACTGTTTTAGCATGGGTCTGTCAGGTTCTTGGTAAGTTTCTCTTTAGTGGTGTCTGTGTTCCGGGGGACTGGCAGTCCCCTACAGCAGTTGAGAAACTCACCCTGAACTGGCATCCCTGGCCTCATCTGGGGAGCCCTGCCCTGCTCAAGCCCTGCCCACCTAACTGGATTCCTGCAGACATTTCTCTCTCTCTTTCTTTCTTTCTTTCTTTCTTTCTTTCTTTCTTTCTTTCTTTCTTTCTTTCTTCCTTCCTTCCTTCCTTCCTTCCTTCCTTTCTTCTTTTTTATTTTTATTTTTCCATTGAGACAGGGTTTCACTGTGTATCTCTGGCTGTGCTGGAACTCACCTCCTGCCTCTGCCTCTTGAGTGCGGGGATTACACAATAAATACTGTCAACAGTCCTATCTTACTACAGACTCCCAAGGAGCAGAGGCGCTGGTGTGTGCAGGGTCAAACTAGAGTTCACAGAGCACTAGTTCCCTGTGGGCTCTGGGGAGCGGATTCCTTGCCTTCTCCAGGAGGGGGAAGACCGACCATCGGCCACTGTGGATTATTAGCGTTAGAGGTTATTTCCGTGGGTACTGGCATCACCATTACTACCAGCTGTGACTCTGACAATTTCTGATCATTAAAGCGAGTTCCAGGACAGTCAGGACTGTTACACAGAGAAACTCTGAATCAAAAAAAAAATTTTTTTTCCCTGTAATTTAAAATTTAGAGAAAATCGCAAAAAATTAGTATAAGAAAATCTAATGTCGTGGTTGGGCACACTGTTCTGAGATGTTTTCCTGAGAGGAGTACCTGTCATACGTGGGAGGAACATGCACCTGACTGTCTGACAAGGGTCATCTGCCTTGTGGTCAGTGGCACGCTGGCTCTGACCTCTGACCTCTCTCTTTTCCTATTTCTGCCTTCTTAGGCTCTTCACCTCCTGGAAGGAACGCTAAATGATGAACACTCTCAAGGTAAGGAGAGCTTGCCCTCAGAGTG